CCACCCCTTGAAATTCCAATTTGTAGTCCCACGGTGAAAGCTACGGAGCTCGACTGGACTCTTTCTCTGCAGTACCGTGGTTATCTCGTAAGGCTTATGGCAGCGAGCTCAGCTTGGTCCTGCCTGGGCTTTGTACTGGACTGCCTGTGCTAAGAGAGACACAACGTCCCCGTCAGGCGAGTGGCCAGGGGAGCGGCTGAGTGATTCCAACACGGGATTTTTCTGTTTGTCCAAACTGTCATAATTTGTATGTCCCAGTGTCTGTTGTCTGCTTAAGCCTGTATGTCTGGCCACCGTTACTGCCCAAAGCAGCTAGGAGAAAACTTCAAGGTACTCAGTGCTGACTTCCTGTCTGAGGAGGTCAAATCCCTCATTTGCCGGTTGGGCTGGCCAACCCAGTCCTGTCTTTTCTGTCAAACCCAAATCAGGTGTTATGGATAAAATTGTGACACACGTTCACCAGACTGTGATTCGTGGCACCACACGGATTGTTGGTGTCTGGGCTGTCACCTCCCACACCCCAATGACTGGGTGCATCTCTCTTTTTCTCAGAACAGTGGTGGATTCAAAGGAGCCATCCTGCAGATCTCCTTGCCCACCTATTCAGTCACTCCACCACTTTCCCAGTACCCTTAGACAGAACACAGCACAGAGAAACCTATACCCATAATACTCTAATTCTTCTGCAGTCATATTATTCCCCCCGTGGGTAATCCCTAATCTTCAAAAAACTTCAGGTGGCCCTTTTCTTCCACATCCCCGTCCGATCGTCTCAATTTCCTGTGTTTCAGCAAGTCCAGCGTCTCCAGGACTTGGCTTTGTTGTCCTTCCTTAAACTTTTAAGGGAAAGGGCTAAATTTAAAAACTCTGCTTTTAAAACGTGAAAACATCTGAGGTATCTCGGATATAAGTACAGGGGCAGAGCCTGTAATCTGGGGACTTTTCAGCCCAGGTGTCCTGCCTCCCCCACATTCTGTCCTGTCCCTTTAAGAACACTAAAGCAGCGGCGCTGAGCCGCAGCAGCTGCAGGAATTCAAATGTGCAGTTTTTCCCCCTCGAAGTCTGTAAGGTAAAGCGCGCAAACACCGCCCCCAGGGCCTTTGGCTGCTTCCCCGCTGGGAACTGCCTAGCAACGGAGCTAAGACCGCCCACAGCTCAACTGCACAGCAGGCCACAGACGGGCCGGGGAAAAACCGCGGGGCGAGGTACAGCCCCAGTCCCCGGCAGGTGTGCAGAGAGCCCCCCTAGATTGTTAGCCTTCTCCCCGTAATTCAGAGTCTGAAAATACTAAATATCGTGGCAAGAAAAAGTGGATGTAGCCCTCTTCTTGTTTCTCCTGGTTATAATTTTCCTGTTTTTCCGATTCTCCAAGCCCCCAGGCTGTGAATACTTTTGACCGTGCTGGGTCTGACATTTCGGATTGAAATCCTGTTAACTATTTGTGTTCAAAATGGGAAATTCTTCCTCCCAGCCCTAGTCACTGAGCCCCCTGCAGTGTATGTTAACGAAATTTTCTCTAGGCTTCTCAGAGAACTATGCAGTCCACCTTAAGAAAGGCAAACTCTGGACTCTGTGGAGTGGCCGAATCTTGAAACCGGGTGGCCTCCAGAAGGGTCATTAAACCCCTCAACAGTTAAAGCTGTGTGGCAGGTTACCGGAAAGCCCGAGCACCCTAATCAGTTTCCCTATATTAATCAATGGCTTAATTTGGTTCAGAACCCTCCCCCGTGGCTCCGATGTTACTCTATTCATGACCCCGCCTCTAAGGTTCTTCTGAACAAAGTCCCCTCCCAGCCTCGACTGGTTGCTCGAGTGGCCCCTTCTGCCCCCACATGTTGCCCCCTCTCTGAGGAAGAGGGAAACCATTTACACCCGTTACCACCACCTTATGATCAAGGGTCCAGCACAATCTCTCCAACGACACCTCCAGCCCCCGCCGCTGCCGCATCTCCCCTCTAAGCGCCTCCACCCCCCGAGCCACGGTTTCTCCGCCCATGGCCTCAGGGTTGGCCCCGGTTGGGGAAGCTACTCCACTCCGCTTGACCGAGGCACCACCCCCGCCAGGCAGTGAGCGTTCTGCGGCTCCGTTTTTAGTTTATGTTCCATTTTCCACCTCTGACCTGTGCAGTTGGACAGCTCAAAATCCTCTGTTTTCTGAAAAGCCCCAGGTCCTAACTGCGCTAATGGAATCTGTACTTCAGACTCACAGGCCACCTGGGACGACTGTCAACAGCTCCTCCTTGCCCTTTTCACCTCCGAAGAGAGGGACGGGATTAGAAGGGAAGCCAGAAACCATTTCCTTAGTTCACAAGGGAAGCCCTAGACCTCCTTGAGGAGGTTTTTCCTTCTACCCGACCTGAGTGGGACCCTAACACCTGGGGTGGGGGGAAGGAGGGCTTTGGAAAATTTCCACCGTATCTCCTTGCGGGTATTAAAGGAGCCGCCAAAAAACCTATGAACTTGTCTAAAGCCACAAAAGCGTTCAGGGTCTGATGAGTCACCCCGAGCGTTCTCAGAGCGCCTCCAGGAGGCCTATGGAATTTACACCCCATCTAACCCGGCGGCACCCAAAAACAGCCGTGCTATAAATTTGGCATTTGTGGCCCAGGCAGCTCCAGACATTCAGAGAAAGTTACAAAAGTTAAAACGTTTTGCCGAAATAAACATCACTCAGCTTTTAAAAGAAGCCCAAAAAGGTTTTTAATAACTGAAAAACTGAACAGGAAAAGCAGGCGGCTCAAGCCGCTAACAGGACAGCCGACATTCGGGGAAAAGGCAAGCAAAAATGATAGTGGCCGCCCCGGGAGGCAAAAAGGGGAAAACGCCCATCACAAAGCAGCAGCCAGTGGACTCCAGAACCCCGCCAGAAAATCCAGAGAGGTAAACGGGCTCCCCTACAAAGGAACCAGTGTGCCTTCTGTAAACAGACGAAACACTGGAAGGACAAATGTCCTTTAAAGCCAAAAAAGAAAACAACCAAAAAAGTCCTCACCCTCCCCACAGCAGAGAAAGCTATTAATGGAACTGGGGCTCCTTTTCACTAGGTCCCGGGGAGCCCATGGTTACTGCTACTGTGGGGGGCCAGCCAGTACGCTTTTTAATCAGTACTGGAGCTGAACATTCTGTACTACAGACACCCTTGGGCAGTGTTTCTAACAAGAAAATGACTGTACAGGGGGCTATGGAGCCATTCAGGAATATCCTGTCACCCACTCACGTGAAGTTCATTTAGGCCAAAAGAAGGTAATCCATCCATTTCTAGTAGTTCCAGAATGCCCCTTCCCCCTTCTTGGGGGTGACCTGCTCCACAAACTGCAGGCATCCATCTCCTCCTCAGCTCAGCAAACTCATCTCAAGTTAGAAGACACAGAACCCCTTCCTGCTCAGCTCCTGCTGACCTTTCCTTTGTCAGAAGAATATCTTTTAGTCTCATCTTCACCCCCCCCACAAAAAAAAAAACCAAATTAGCCCTCTCCTACTGGATCTACAAGCTCTTTTTTCCCGGGTTTGGGCAGAATCAAACCCCCCAGGACTGGCAAAACACCATCCACCAGTGGCTGCAGAGCTTCAGGCTGATGCCCTGCCAGTGCGGGTCAGACAATATCCTATGAGCCAGAGGGCTAGAGAGGGAATCAGCCCCCACATTCAGCGGCTATTACAAGCCAATATACTCCTTGTCAGTCTGCTTGCAACACTCCATCTCTGCCAGTTCAAAAACCTGGGATAAATGATTACCGGCCTGTACAGGACTTGCGGGAAGTTAACAAATGGACAGTCACAGACCATCCAACTGTCCCTAACCCCTACACCCTGCTCAGTTTGCTCCCACCAGAACACACCGTGTACACTGTCCTGGACTTAGAAGATGCTTTCTTTGCCATTCCTTTGGCCCCAAAGAGACAACCCATTCTAACTTTTAAATGGACAGACCCTGGCTCGGGAGACACAACAGAATTAACTTGAACTCGGTTGCCCCAAGGTTTTAAAAATTCTCTAACTCTTTTTGGGGAAGCCTTTCAGCAGGACCTTGTGGCATTCTGAGCCAGTCAACCCAACTGCACCCTACTCCAGTACAAAAATAATTATTGGCTACTGAGACTACCGAAAGCTGTCTGCAATATACTAAAAACCTGCTTTATCTCTTTGAGGAGCTTAGATATCGGGTTTCAGCCAAAAAGGCCCAGCTTTGTCTTTCCAGGGTCTCCTACTTAGGATATGAACTAAACAAAGGAAAAAGAGCCCTCACCAATGCTCCAAAGGAGGCCATCTTCCAAATCCCCAACCCCACTACCAAGAAACAGGTAGTGAATTCTTGGGGGCTGTGGGATACTATCGCCTGTGGATATCTGGGTTTGTAGAAATTGCCAAGCCCCTGTACACCGCTACAGGAGGAAATGGCCCTTTGGTTTGAACTGACACGGAAGAGCAGGCCTTCCAAAACTTAAAAAAGGCACTAAGGCCCCTGCTTTAGCCCTTCCAAACATCGCAAAGCCATTTCAATTGTCCATAAAAATCAGGGAGTGGCTAAAGGGGTACTCACTCAAACCTTAGGGCCATGGCGACACCCAGTGGCGTATTTGTCAAAAAAACTGAACCATGTGGCTTCCAGGTGGCCGATCTGTCTGCGAGCAGTTGCAGCAACAGCAATCCTAGTTCCCGAGGCTGACAAATTCACACGGGGCCAGAAGTTAACCCTTACAGCACGACATGCTGTAAAAACTGCTACACGTGATCCAGGCAAATGAATGCCTAATGCACGCATCCTACAATATCAGAGTTTACTGCTAAATCAGCCTCGCATAACTTTCTCCCCCACAAAGTGTTGAAATCCAGCCACTCTGCTCCCTGACCCAGACTTCGCCACCCCTATTCATGACTGCCAGGAATTACTAAAATTACAGAGACAGGTAAACCTAATCTCCAGGACACTCCTTTAAAAAAGGTGAATGCCGCTTTATTTACAGATGGAAGCAGTTTCCTTGAGCAGGGGGTACAGAAAGCAGGTGCAGCTGTCGTCAGGGAGACTGAAGTACTGTGGGCCCAGGCACTGCCAGCTGGTACTTCTGCACCAGGAGGCTGAGTTAATTGCCCTAACTCAAGCCCTCCGATGGGGTAAGGACAAACGTGTTAACATCTACACTGATAGCAAATATGCTTTTGCTACTGTACATGTTCATGGGGCCATCTATCAAGAGCAGGGGCTACTCACCTCAGCAGGAAAAACTGTCAAAAAACCAAAAAATGTTAGCCCTGCTCAAGGCTGTCTGGCTCCCCCTACAGGTGGCTGTAATGCATTACAAAGGACATCAAAAGGAAAATACTACTGTTGCTAGGGGCAACCAGACGGCAGACGGTGCTGCCCGTGAAGCTGCAGTTCTCCCGATTACTCCATTAACTCTGCTTCCAGCCATCTCTTTTCCACAGCCTCATTTACCTGACCACCCAACGCACTCTTCTGAAGAAAAGCCGGCATTGGATCTACAAGCCAGTAAGAATCAGGAGGATGGTGGATCCTTCCAGACTCCAGAATCTTCCTGCCCCGGGCCCTTAGAGAATCTTTCATCAGCTGTCTCCACTCTTCCACCCACTTGGAAGAAACAAAGTTGGCCCAACTTTTTTTTTTTTTTTTTTTTGCGACGGAGTTTTGCTCTTGTTGCCCAGGCTGGAGTGCAATGGCGCGATCTCGGCTCACGGCAACCTCCGCCTCCTGGGTTCAGGCAATTCTCCTGCCTCAGCCTCCTGAGTAGCTGGGATTACAGGCACGTGCCACCATGCCCAGCTAATGTTTTGTATTTTTAGTAGAGACGGGGTTTCACCATGTTGACCAGGATGGTCTCGATCTCTTGACCTCGTGATCCACCCGCCTCGGCCTCCCAAAGTGCTGGGATTACAGGCGTGAGCCACCGCGCCTGGCTGGCCCAACTTTTAAGAAGCCAATTTAAAATCCCACATCTCCAGGACTTAACTGGCCACGTGGCCTCCTGAGGCACGGCTTGTACACAGGTGAACGCCAGGCAAGGCTTGAAGCCTGGATTGGGCCATCATCTCCAAGGCTGTAGCCCAGGAGAAAGGCAGGAAGTTGACTTCACTGAAGTAAAGCCACACCAGGCAGGGTGTTAAGTACCTCCTGGTGTTGGTAAACACTTTTTCTGGATGGACTGAGGCTTTTTCCAGTAAGAACAAGACTGCCACTATGGTAGTAAAGTTCTTAATAAAATTACCCCTCGCTGTGGATTGCCTGTTGCCATAAGGTCTGGTAATGGGCCAGCCTTCACCTCGTCCATGGCTCAGTCAGCAAGGTGTTAAATATTCAGTGGAAGCTCCATTGTGCCTACCGGCCCCAGAGCTCTGGACAGGTAGAACACATGAATCGTATGTTAAAAAGTACTCTTACCAAATTAATCCCGGAGACCGGTGAAAATTGGATAAAATTCCTTCCTTTAGCCCTTCTTAGGGTCAGGTGCACCCCTTACAGGGCAGGATTCACTCCTTTTGAAATTATGTATGGGAGGGCCCCACCTGTGTTGCCTAAACTAAAGAGTACCAGTTAGCAGAACTATCTCAAGCTAACTTGTTACAGGACTTGCAGTCTCTCCAACAGGTTCAAGGCATCATCCAGCCGCTCGTCCGGGAGGCACACCCTAATCCGGCTCCTGATCTGACAGAACCCCGCCACCCTTTCCGTCCAGGTGACCTGGTATATGTCAAAAAGTTCCAGAAGGAAGGTCTCGTCCCTGCTTAAAAAGAACCTCACACTGTCATCCTTACTACACCCACAGACCTAAAGGTGGACAGTATTCCTGCTTGATTTCATCGCTCCCACATCAAGAAGGGCAACAGGACGCAGCAAGAAACATGGGTCCCCAAGCCCAGGCCAGGCCCCTTAAAACTGCGCCTGAGTCGGAGGCAGCCATAAGCCTAGTTCTTTAGGTCTGTGTTTCCTATCTGTTCCCGGCTGGAGCCCTCAGCCCCCTCCTACTCTTTTCTCTTTACTTCCTTTGCAGAGTGCTTTCGAACATCACCTGGAAAAAAGTACTTTCAATGAAGTTTCCTTTTCAATCAATTTATGTGTTTTGTTCTGAAAGCCCGGCTGTTCCCCCAAGAAACAACGAAGCTTGCCCCTGTGGACAGGAGCGGGACTTGTTGACCTTGCTGCAGGGTTTGGACACACTGGAAGTGAAAGCGGATGCGGCAGCTTGGAGGGTGCAGAAAAGGGACTCCAACGAGTACATTTCTACCTCTGTGCTGGACACCACCCTAACACTACCTGCCGGAATAGAGTTTTTCTGCCCTTCTTGGTCAGGTGTAACTTTGGCTACTTACCCGGGAGGGCCGACCCGGTCTTCAACCCTTTCCATAGCCCAAACCTCCCATCCTAAGCTAGGTACTACGAGAGCCTGTAATCCCATTACTATGACTGTTCATAACCCAACTCTGTTCAATAGTACTGCGGTATAACATGGGGACTGCGACTTTCGGAGGCTTTAATCTTGAAACTATGTTTACCATTCAGAAGAGGGTCTTGATCCCCTGGAGCCCCCCCAAACCCATCAGTCCTTTGATTTAGGGGACCCTGTGTTCGTCCACACCCAGATAAGGTCAGTCCCACTGGCCCAACTGCTCCATTGCCAGTCCAGGCTCCCCAACTCTGACTGCAACCCCAGCACCTCCAACCCAGCTTAATGTCCACCTTAAGAAGACTCCACCACCTCCTTAATATTACTCAGCCTAGGCTGGCCCAAAACTGTCGGTTGTGCCTGAAGGCCAGACCTCCATATGATGCTGGATTGGAAGTTGAGGTTAAGTTACACACTGGGCCTGTTTCACGTCGTGCCCATCCTCACTCCCTTATATTAGGGGATGTTTCAGAAAACGCCTCCCGCCTAGTCGGTAGAGGGTAAACCCATCTGCTTCCCCCTTCCAGGCCACCGGTCATCAGTCTCTCCTTACTTCCTTAACTACTTCAGTCTCCTACCAGGCACCAAGTAACACTTAGCCGGCTTGCACCTCCAGCCTCACCCACTGCATGAACACGGCTAAGCCTGGACTCCTCCTGTGCGTGCTAGTTCATGTACTTCCTCAGGTTTGTGTGCACAGCGAACCGGGGGGACAGCTTCTCACTGCCCCCTCCTAAACTGCACCCCAGAGTACACCAAGGTGCCCCCCTCCTAGTGCCCCTTTCGGCTGGCCTCAGTGTGGCTAGCTCAACAGCAATCGGCACAACAGCGCCAGTCCGAGGAAAAACTGGACTAAATTCCCTAACCCAACAAGTAGATGCCGATTTAAAAGTCTCCAGCAGCCATAACTACACTGCACGCCCAGGTTAATTCCTTAGCTGAAGTCGTCCTCCAAAACCGCCGTGGCCTGGGCCTGGTGTTTCTCTCCCAAGGGAGTTTGTGTGCGGCGTTGGGGGAAACTTGTTTTTATGCTAACCAGTCTGGAGTCATAAAAGACACTCTTCAAAAGGTTCGAGAAAATGTAGATGCCAATGGGAACAAAAAACTAACACCCCATGGTACCAGAGCATGTTGAACCGGAACCCTTGGCTGACTACTTTAATAACTGGAATAGCAGGACCTCTTCTCCTCCTGTTGGAATTAATTTTGGGGCCCTGTCTATTTAAATAATTTTGTAAAACGGCATATAGTTGCTGTCAAACTTATACATCTTAAAACCCAATACCTGCCGGGCACGGTGGCTCACGCCTGTAATCCCAGCACTTTGGGAGGCCGAGGCGGGTGGATCACCTGAGGTCAGGAGTTCAAGACCAACCTGGCCATCATGGTGAAACTCCATCTTTAAAAAAAAAAAAAAAAAAATGCCCGGCGCGGTGGCTCACGCCTGTAATCCCAGCACTTTGGGAGGCCAAGGCGGGTGGATCACAAGGTCAAGAGATCGAGACCATCCTGGTCAACACGGTGAAACCCTGTCTCTAGTAAAACTACAAAACATTAGCTGGGCATGGTGGTGCGTGCCTGTAATCCCAGCTACTCAGGAGGCTGAGGCAGGAGAATTGCCTGAACTCAGGAGGCGGAGGTTGCGGTGAGCCGAGATCACGCCATTGCACTCCAGCCTGGGTAACAAGAGTGAAACTCCGTCTCAAAAAAAAGAAAAAACAAGGAACAAAAAAAAGCTTGGCAGGGTGCAATGGCTCATGCCTGAAATCCCAACGCTTTGGGAGGTGGAGGTGGGCAGTCACCTAGGTCAGGAGTACAAGGCCAGCCTGGCTAACATGGTGAAACCCCATCTCTACTAAAGATACAAAAATTAGCTGGGCATGGTGGCGCACGCCTGTAGTCCCAGCTACTTGGGAGGCTGAGGCAGGAGAATTGCCTGAACCCAGGAGACAGAGGTTGCGGTGACCCAAGATCGAACCATTGCACTCCAGCCTGGGTAACAAGAGCAAAACTCCATCTCAAAAAAAAAAAAAGAAAAATGAAAAAAAAAATACAGATTTATAAAATCTTTTCAAAAATTACTTTGGAATTACAAATTAAACATTAAACATTAATTATCATTAAACACATGGTGAAAATAAGCCATGGGGAAAATACTGCCATGGCTTGGGTTAGGTAAAACCACCATTAAAGATTAGCTAAGAGAGAATATACACAAGATAAGCCATAACCAATATTGGGGCCTTATTTATAAACAAACAGACACACATATATCTATCTAATAGTGACAGACACATGGCTGATTTATAAGAGATAAACAGAATTGCAAACTGTCTAAAATTACAATATATAAGTGAAACAAAAAAAAACCCCATATGTTAAGAAACCTACACCAACAAAACACTGCTATGAAACTGCACAACAATAAATGACACATTTACTCATAAAATCTGTGATGCAACAATGATATACCAGTAAAAAAGAATTTGTATAACTACAGTATTTGACTCTATGTACTTATGAAAGGTAGGTATTTTGAATCACTGGCATGTACCATGGGGTAGTAAAATTCCAGAGAATATGTAGTATGATTATAAATAGAATATTCGAGTGAGAAACTTTTTTTTTTTTTTTTTTTTTGAGACAGAGTTTCGCTGTTGTTGCCCAGACTGGAGGAGAAACTTTTTTTTTTTTTTTGAGACGGAGTTTCGCTCTTGTTACCCAGACTGGAGTGCAATGGCGCGATCTCGGCTCACCGCAACCTCCGCCTCCTGGGTTCAGGCAATTCTCCTGCCTCAGCCTCCTGAGTAGCTGGGATTACAGGCACGCACCACCATGCCCAGCTAATGTTTTGTAGTTTTAGTAGAGACGGGGTTTCACCATGTTGACCAGGATGGTCTCGATCTCTTGACCTCGTGATCCACCCGCCTCGGCCTCCCAAAGTGCTGGGATTATAGGTGTGAGCCACCGCGCCCAGCCAGAAACTTTTAATAAATACATATTTAAAAGGAATTAGCAATAATTCTCATATTTCAAATATATGCTATCCTTACACAATATGAAACTGCTGTAATCCAACTTTAGAAGCAAAAAGTCTTAAATTGTTAAATAAAAAAACATGTTTTGCAAAATATAGTTACAGCCTCTGATATATAAAACAAATATTAGCAATAAATTATGTTATCATTTAGATACAGGCTGAAGAAAGTGGATGAAAATGCTATAATTCCTTTTTGCCTGCAGCAAACTTAAATTATAAGTAACTATTTTTTTAGATATCTATATCTATATATATAGATATAGATACATATATTTTATTGCACTTTATGTAAGTAACTAGTTTAGTAAATAGGAGTACCTACCGATTATCTAACTTACTTCAGGCATAACATGTAAATTCTACCATATTGTCCTAAATGTCTGAATCTAGAATTACAGACAAGCTTGAGATATAAAATAGAAAGTAAAAATGTATAGAGGGCAATTAGTATAATGAAAAAAAAAAAAAAAAAATGAAAAGTTCTCTATTTGCTTAACCTCTCCAAAGCAAGAACATTTGTTAGCTATCCCTGCAAAAATGGCTTCATGAGAGAACCAGGCATCTTGGCTCACACCTGGAACGACAGCTACATGGCACACTGAGGTTGGAGAACTGCTTCAGGCCAGGATTTTGAGACCAGCCTGGGTTATGAAGCAAGACCTCATCTCCAAAGTAAGTACCTTTAAGACAGCTCTGAGATCCAGGGAGGGACTTGTGAAACTGCTAAAGCCCAGGATTGAGGAGTGTTCTTTTCAGAGGGCAGGTCCTCATTCAGTTGAAAAACTACAAGAACCCTGGTCTTGGCTACAAACCAACAAATGGCCCACCCAACTTGCTCCCCCTGAGAATTCAGAACTTACTCTGTAACCAACCCAAATTTCTCCAAGTCACAATCTGGGAGAGGTCCTGGCCTTTCAGAGGCCTGAAGGGAGACAACCCGTTTATAGCCATGCAGGCAGGCCTGCAGACCTTGGTCTTTCCTGTGGTCCCTGAGATAGTTCAATGACTGAGTTCCAGCTCCATGAGCCACAGTTCAAGGCCAGTTGTGCCTACAGAGAAACCCACACAGTGACCTGCGGAAATGCCCTCTGGTACTCAGTAAAAGCCATACTCATTCACATCCTGATATAAGGGCCATTATATATGATCCTGACTGCAGAAATCTGCCCTACTGTCTGCTCTAAGATCAAAATCCTGAAGGATATGCAGTCTGTCCAAAAATAGAATGGGAATTACAACTACCCAAGCCCCTGTAACAAGCCAACTAAAGGTGGACCCTCGTGCAGACCCAGCAGCCTCGTGATAAAGCTACAACCCCTCTTCACTGCAAATTCAGAAGCATTCATGATCCTGGAGACATGACAGAAAAAGATCTTTACCTCCTGAAACCAGTTTGTTTGTTTGTTTGTTTTGAGACAGAATCACTCTGCTGTCCAGGCTGCAGTGCAATGGCATAATCTTGGCTCACTACAGCCTCCACCTCCGAGGCTAAAGCAATTCTCCTCCTTCAGCCTCACAAGTAACTGGGATTACAGGTGCATGCCACCATGCTCAGATAATTTTTGTATTTTTAGTAGAGAGGGGGTTTCACCATGTGGGCCAGGCTGGTCTCGAACTCCTGACCTGGTGATCCACCTGCCTCAGTCTCCCAAAGTCCTGTGATTACAGTCATGAGCCACTGCATTCAGCCCTGAAACCAGTTTATAAAAGCTTGAGGAGTTGTTTTCTCCTTCAAATTTACACACACCAATGCAAAACTATATTGTGCCCATTGTCAATGCTTCTATTTTAATGTAGCACTCACTGGAAGTATGTGGCTTCCAGTGAGTGCTACATTTTTAAACAGCCATTGAAATTAAAGACAAGGCCAGGCATGTTGGTTCACACCTGTAATCCCAGCACATTGGGAGGCCGAGGCAGGTGGATCACCTGAGGTAAGGCGTTCAAGACCAGCCTGGCCAACATGGTGAAACCCCATCTCAACTAAAAATACAAAAACATTAGCAGGGCATGGTGGCGGGTACCTGCAATCCCAGCTACTCAGGAGACTGGGAAAGGAAAATCACTTGAACCGGGGAGGCAGAGATTGCAGTGAGCCAAGGTCATGCCATTGCACCCCAGCCTGGGCAACAAAAGTGTAACCGTCTCAAAAAAAAAAAAAAAAAAAAAAAGTGAAGACAAATGAGTAAAAAGTTTCCTTTTGTGGATCATATGATCTTATATATAAGAAACCATAAACAGTCATAAACAGTACATTTAAATTTGTCTAAACCAATACTCAGTAAATTAGCAAAATATAAAATTAACACACAAGTTATTGTTCCATACAGTTAAAACAAATCTAATATGATAGAGAAATAACACAATCTCATTTAAAATAGCATTAAAATAAATTTCTAAGAAGAAATTTAACCGAGGTAAAAATTCTTTATAATGAAATAGTTATCAATAAAGAAATTAGAAAAGATACAAAGAAATTTAAAAATATTTCATGTCTAAGGATTGAAAAAATAAATATTGCTAAAGTGCCCTATTATCTAAGTTAATCTATAGAGTCGCGAAATTTCCTTTCAAAATTTCAGTGGCATTTTTCTTGACAGTAATGAAAAATACAACTCTAAAATTTACAGGAAACAACAATAAACTTCAAATAGCCAAAGCAATCTTGAGGAAAAAAAAGCAAAGTAGAGGCCGGGCGCGGCAGCTCAAGCCTGTAATCCCAGCACTTTGGGAGGCCGAGGCGGGTGGATCACGAGGTCAAGAGATCGAGACCATCCTGGTCAACATGGTGAAACCCCGTCTCTACTAAAAATACAAAAAAATCAGCTGGGCATGGTGGCGCATGCCTGTAATCCCAGCTACTCAGGAGGCTGAGGCAGGAGAATTGCCTGAACCCAGGAGGCGGAGGTTGCGGTGAGCCAAGATCACGCCATTGCACTCCAGTCTGGGTAACAAGAGTGAAACTCCGTCTCAAAAAAAAAAAAAAAAAAGCAAAGTAGAGAGACATTGTACTTTATAATTTCAAACTATATTTCAAGAACATATTAATAAAAACAGGATGGAATGTGCAGAAAAGCACCAACAAAAACAAAAACAAAACAAAAAAACACAATGGAATAGAAACAACTACCCTTTTATATTTCAGACACGATGCAAAAAGAGCGCTAGGAAAACAGTTTGGGTGGGCACGCGGTGGTTCACGCCTGTAATCCCAGCACTTTGGGAGGACAAGGCAGGCAGATCACTTGTGGTCAGGAGTTCGAGACCAGCCTGGCCAACAAACATGGTGAAACCCCATCTCTATTAAAAACACAAAACATTAGCTGGGCGTGGTGGCAGGTGCGGTGGCTAAGGCAAGAGAATTGCTTGAACCTGGGAGGCAGAGGCTGCAGTGAGCTGAGATTGTGCCATTGTACTCCAGCCGGGGCAACAAAGCAAAATTCAGTCTCAAAAGAAAATAAAGCCGGGCACGGTGGCTCAAGCCTGTAATCCCAGCACTTTGGGAGGCTGAGGTGGGTGGATCACGAGGTCAAGAGATCGAGACCATCCTGGTCAACATGGTGAAACCTCCCCGTCACTACTAAAAATACAAAAAATCAGCTGGGCATGGTGGTGCGTGCCTGTAATCCCAGCTACTCGGGAGGTTGAGGCAGGAGAATTGCCTGAACCCAGGAGGCGGAGGTTGC